TCAGTTCATCAAAATCTCTAAAAAGAGAACAAGTTTCTAACAGTCTGTTATGCATCCCCAAAGAGAAAATAGCAGATTTTAAGGTTTTGAGATACTAGGGCGGCCAAGAAAAAATACTTAAGTTAAAAATAAAATGGGAGTGATATTGAATATTTTTTAACATTACTACAAAAACTTAATGTAATTTTCAAGATTTAAAATGTATACTACCTACTAGTAATTCAAATTTTACATAAACATTATTTTTTTAAATCTGATGAATAATTTTTGATTACCCCATACAATGGGCCTTTAAACTCCTATAGACTATAATAGTATTAGGGTAGGAGTTAATAATTATTTCCTTATATTTTTTTAAGTGTGTAATTTGCATTATTTCTACAGATGTTGATATTTATTCAAGATATTATTTGACCGTCACAAGAGATGTTAACCTATCATACATATAATGCTTATTGACACATTTTTTAGAATGAATCTTATATGATATTAATTTTGAAGGGGTTGACCAAAAAATAAAATATTTCCTCTTTGTTTTTATTGACTATAGAATATTAATTTATTACTAGCCAGTATAGTGACCAGAGCAAATATAAATAAAATAAAAACAAATAGATTTTCTGAGATTCAATAACGATACGATTTTGACATTGACCTATTTATTTGTGTTGTACCCTAGTTATTATTAGAGTTTTACGCAATTGTTGTATATCAGTAAATATTAAAACGGTTTGTGTCAACATTTCAGAACTATAAGCATATTTCCAAAAGTCTTTAAACTATTTAATTACATTTTATTATTATTATAGACTTATTTAGTAATTATTTTGGAATTATACAAAGTATGCAAATTTATATTTCATATTTGAATCATTTTTTGTTTTAAAATATCCATAAAACCTTTTTATGAATTTAAGTTTTATATTAATGCAATCTTTGGAATTATTCATTTAAAAAATACCGTTTTTCATTAGTTTATTAAAAAGAAAATAATATAGGCAACTTTTTTTTTGTATTTATAAATTTATAATTAAGTATCATTGTTATGGTTGTAGCTATTGTTGCTCATTTGTGTGTATTAATAATTTATTGTAACTAACAAACATATCTTTTAAATGTGTATTCAATAATGTATTTCTTGCGTATAATAAACTGTATGAAAGAAGATTAAATTTGTCTCATAAACGTTGTTGGACTAAGTACCTAATATTTTATTAAACTGTGTTTCATATTAGAAAATACGTTTTATTATATTTGTGATGATTTTAAATTACTAATACCTAGCTAAAAATAAAATTGGTGTTTGTTGGCAATGAAATCATATAATAAAGCTATTTTTTTTAAAATTTGTTTTACCACGACGTATTTATGTCATAAAGTATAAAGTATATTATTATTAACCATAATAAAATAAATTAAATCATTATGATAACTAAAGTATTGAACATGATGAAAACGATAATGTTAATTCAATTTAATAATCCATGCATTTTATTGTTTCTGCAAAATATGTTTTAAATTATCGTATGGAAATGCCATGGTCGTAAGCTTTAAGTTCATAATTATCACGGATAATTCAATATTGCCTATTTTTTCGTATTATATGGGTTTCGCTATATCGATTGGCTATGGTTTTACTATAACATCGTGGCATGCTTCTATATATTTACGTGGTTTATTATACCTAGTGAGAATATTATACCGGCATTGCACTACACACCGTTTGCGCGATTATATTTATAACTATGAAAGCTATTAGTGATAACGCCACCGTCGGAGGAAATTTATGATGTTATTTCATTCGCCCCGGGCCACACTCCCGCAACTTTAGGTCGGCTGTACCGCACATACCATACAATAATAATAATATACAGCATATAATATTATTTAGGCGCATTTAAGTAAAAAAAAAAAAAATTATCGAAGATTTTACGTGTACGGATCTATTTGAGTTCCATCTACGTGTTTTCACATTCCTCTCTGGATAACATAATATATTATACTCGACCAAGTCGACCATATTCTGATGTAGACACGTAACACATTATACCTATATTATAAACGTAGTATGCATATACGCATTATATACATGGATGTAAGTTAAATAACAAAAACGTCAAGTGCGGGGAACGGATCGATAGTCGCTTGTAATTTAATTTTCAAGCCCGATGCTTCGAAGATGCCACAATATGTATTACCGAGGTATAGGTATAACAATATAATAATATTATTATTATAACGTGTTGTATTATGCGCGACGAGGACGAAGGTACCATTAGCCGCCGCTGGTGATTCGCAAATCGGCTGCACAAAAATCATACTCGGGAGGATGACAGACGAACCGGGATCGCAACGGCGGAAACTCATCCGCGAACTCGACCTGGTCCCTGCAGGTCCGTCGACGGTATTCGGTCGAGCGCGGCGTGTCGCCCAATTTTGTTTACCTCACGTCGAACAAAAGACCGCTTAAAATCTGGTTTCCGAAAAAAAAAAATTAATACATGCGACGACGACGTGAACCCGTGTAAATTCACCGGTTGTGTGCACCAGCAACGTGGTGCATATACGCAGTGTACACGTGTAATTTGTTTTAGCGGCGTTGTTATGGCGTTGTGTTAAACCGTTGTAGTGTTGTAGGTACCTGTAATCGGTGTAAAACGAAACGGTGCGCAGCTGCTTTACGGCGTACATATAGCATATAGGTACCGAACACTGTAAAAAAAAAAAAAAAAACAAAATGAAAAAACATCTGTATAATCCGACATCGTTCGATCGTTGTCGCGGAGTTCTCCGCACATATCTCATTATTTAATATACATATATATATATATGTTGCATCATACCACGCAATATCGATCCGGTTACTTTCGCGATGACTTGAGCTTTAGTTTCTAGCTCAAATTCGAACGCCCGTCACGCACGTGGATCAAGTCAAACATTATTATTTGCTGCAATTATAGCCGTCAAAGCTGATACGATTTTCATCTCGAAACATTGTTCAAACCGCAGGACAGTCTGCTGTAGTTTCAATAATATATCAAGTATTATCGATCAATAAATATTGCGCGTGTATGTGTTTGATACCAAGCATCCGGTCATCAATGGTTCGCCGTCACCCTGTATAACATCAACGTCGATTCTTACAATTTTACGTTGTTGGTTTAATTTTCCACATGCCCAGGGGGCGTCGGATTTCGTAATTGAAAAACGTGTTCGGGGCGGTTATATTTCCCTCGCCGCCTCTACGCCGTCGACCGCACAACGGTTTGTGCCAGAGTAGGTATACCTATATACAGGTGCGGTGCGGACACCTATGTAATAATAAATATGAAAAATTCATGAGGAAATTCGACGCGGACACAAATGCACATGACGTGTCTAGTGTAGAGTAGACGTGCGGCAATAGGATAGAACGCGCGTGACTGGTACATTAATACATTATATATATTTATACAGCAGTATAATATAATAACAACAACGATATTATATTATTCGGGTGCTCCCCCCCCCCATCCCCGGTGTCCGGATGATCCCTTTGCCGCGTATAAATATGATATTGTGATACGAATTACGATGCGTATATTATACAATATGTACGATATCGTCTGTGTAACGACCTGCGCTGTGGCCACTATATACAGCCCGCGGGATGAGAGGCGTTCTCGTTTCGACGCGAATCCATTAGAGGAGACGCTCGCTGAAAAGTTTCCATATAATATTATATAGCGGTCCCCACCCTCTCCCACCCTCACACGCCAAAACGCACTTCTCACCGGCACTACTTTTTTTTCTCCCTCGCACGCCACTCTCGTGTGGTCCATATTATGTTGAACCGTATACGCGTATATATATATATACATACCAGTGTTTGGAAAGAACGCCGTTCATGAACGCACGTTAACGCGTTCACGTTCATAAATAGTGAACGATACGTGAACGTCACTCGTATTTTTACAATAGAACGTGAACGTGAACGACGTTTATATTTTTAATGAACTTGATCGATTATTAAGACGTTTAATTTATTTACCACTTAAAAAATATATTTTTAAAATATTTTAATCAATCATATTATAATAATATTTTCCATTANGGCGCGTGAACGGAAAAACGAGCGTTTTGAATTTAAACGTTTCCGTTACTAGATATGCTCACTATTTTAATGGAAAACTACCGGAAGAATTTACAATCTGCTATACATGCGTGTAAGTACTCTTATGTGTATATCGTACCGCTAGAACAAAACAAAAATATACGTGTATGATATTTTGAATAATCGAGTAAACCGATAATGCTGTAATGCATATATATGTATTTAGAGTGCTCGAATTCAATATACACCTCCTACTCGACACTCGTCGTGTTCATCATAATGGGTAGTGAATTAATTGCAGTGATATTCGTACAGGTTTGTGTGTTACCTATATATTATTTGAGAGAAATATTTATAAGTTTATAACAATTTATTGTTGTACGATAAAATCGATTAGAAATATTCGTACAATTATCAGTATAGTCTTTACGTGTCCTGCGTACTCGACATGGTTGTTATAATATCCTATTCGAACAGAGTAAAATAATTGTATGCGTCTGCCTGGGAGTTTATACAAAACCGCGATGATGTACGGATTAATCAAGAGGATGTTTCGTCTGCAGTCGTTCGACATCCGAGATTTAATATTCAAAATATTTGCTCATATAGCATTATAAATATATATATATATAATATTTTATAACATTGAATAATGTAATGGGATTCACGAAGACGGGACGATTCATATTTGTTAAACATTTCACTAATATAATAACATTATGTTGTGTTCGGTATTTAAAATTAATTATTAGCATATTTGTCTGAAATTTACCGTGGAATACTACGTTGTGTTGATTTATTTAAATATATCTAGATGCTATATACATACAAATATTGTTATCGTCATGCTTTTATTGTACTGTTATTGTTCTTGCCTACGATTTTCCTTAATGAGATTATAATACAGAATTGGAAGGCCTGGAGTCGATGCACAGGTTAGACACGAATTAGAGGCGGCCGTTGTTCAGGTGGAGTTTCTGATGAACGAAGGAGCGTTAATCACGGTAACCGCCGACGATAGTTTACACCTATGGAATTTCAGGCAAAAAAGGGCTGACGTTGTCCACAGCTTAAAATTTCAACGAGAAAGGTAAGGAATACACCACCGGAGTTTAAAAAAACAGTTTTACTATTGTATTCGTTTGTCAATAAATGTACCCCAATACATCATTAAATGTTTATTTAATATAAAATACCTACAGTTCCACTTATATTTTTCCGACCATTCGTCAAATCTATTTAATGTGGAAATGTATTATATCTGTGTTTGAGTTAAATGGTTCTATTTATTCTTAAAATATTGCTCTATGAAAAGTCATGATACGTAAGTTTAATTTATTGAAATCAGTTTTTGAGAATTCTCGAAAAACTTGTCAACGACTAAGCATAGTTTTTTATTGCTATGTACATCACATTTGAAAATTTAAAACTTTAAACGTTATTATGTAAATATCAATAAAGTGTATCGTTTTTATTGTTAACTATTTCCATTTCTAAATAGGTCACAGTAAGAATAATGTATTTTTTGTTGTCTTCAAAATGGCAATTACTGCAGTATATCAAATCAAACTAAATTCGCTCCAAGTAGTTATATTATATCCACATATATATGTTGGGCACAAAGCTATACTATATAATATATGGGATTACGATTTTATTTACTTACGTTCAACATCGATTCCAATTGTGTTGTCTTATGTAAATATTGTGTACAATGTGATATTTTATTTATTATTATTCTTTTTTTTTTTTTGTAGAATTACAGTTATACACCTTCCACTCCGTAGCAAGTGGCTGTACGTGGGTTCGGAAAGGGGAAATGTACATTTCGTCAACGTCGAGACGTTTACCCTTTCCGGCTACATAATAAACTGGAATAAAGCCATCGAAGTGTAAGTATAACAATATTTATACGGCGAGCAATTCCAAAATATCATTGCCGTAGTTAGCCTCGAACCTTGCCGGCTGTACGTAAATTTTTATAACGGCGCCCCGATCGCTGCTGGATACCTAGTTGTGGTTCCATTACTACAATCCATTACTATAATACCACTCGGTGAATAATCATAAATAATAACAATATCGTCGGTGATATTATAAATATTATATACGTACATATGTCCGACCGCTACTTCTACTAATACTACTACTGCAGTACTGCTGCAACTGCTGCTACTGCTACTACTACTTATAATAAATACCCTCGAAATAAACCAGTGATACAAAAATGTTGTGCTTACATTGAATTTCTGTACAACACTTAAATGTCCATTAGAGCTTTTCTTCCGTTGTACTGGTGGGTACTGCTATGCACACGCCACGCCAGTCAAGAGAGTTTGCATTTACTTGTCTAAGACGTGTCATGTGGACTGCGCAAAGGGTGTATTATTGTACATGAGGTATAAGCTCAAACTTTGTCTACACACCCACACACACGCGCGCGCGCGCGCGCGAGCCCTACAAAACGCACACATAATTTGTCCGTGTGTGTGTTTGTGTACTTGGATAATGAAGTTTGCCGTGTTCTTCTTGAAACGTTAGGTTAGGTTTATTTTAATGACACGCGTATATACACCTAAGTATTATATATGTATGGCAAGTTACCTTAGGTAGGTATGTACGGACTTGGCAGTTGTTTCTAGTTAGCACTCTAGTGAATCGTAATAAGCATATTATGACGAACGGTTATTCGAGAATTTCGCTCTTTGTTCGCGTCTTTTGTGCGGAGCAAGGGAACATCAACTTTAAAGTTTTTACGTCAACGAGTAGAACGCGTATTTTCGTTTACTTTATTTTTTAACATTCCGTAGTATAGGTGAGTGTAAGTGTTTATAAAAATTTTATAGCGAAGACAATTTAGTCTTGCTATTTGTTTCACCGTTCACATTTTTGTGGTTAGCACTATAAAATGTTGACGACTCGCGAAACATATTGCCATATATGCGTACCTGCAGCACACAAACTATTCGAAGGCACCGCGGAATGTGTACAATATAGTCGCTAAATCTCCTATATATATATGTGTGTGTGTGTGTGTGTGTGTGTGTGTGTGTGTGTGTGTGTGTGTGTACATATGACAAAACATGTATCGAAGTAATATCAACGGCGATAGCTACAATAACTGAACAACTTAGAATTTAACACTCATTGATATACATTTTTTGACGCACGTACCATAGTGTAGAAGATTTTATGAGCCCGGCAATGATTGACGAGCCTAAAATAAAAGGGGAAACGCGAGTTATCGGCTAGAAAAATACACGTCATAATACCCATTTTTCTGAATGGAATGGTAAGCTTAAAAAAAATAGATTTCTATATAATTTTACTATTGGATCGTAAACCCGTTTACGGTTTTTCCTTTTGTGCGGCCTGATCGTAAAAGTTAATACTTCATTTTCATTCCCTAGTGACGCAGTCGACAGTTTATGTTACACACGATATAATATAATAATAATATGACAGTAATTCCGGGACCTGAGCCGTTTTTATGTTGAATAAATAAATAAATTAGGAGTACATAATAATAAATACGACCAGTGAGACTTCAGAGCCATATTCGCAAAACTATTTCCATCATTGTATATCGACATTGCTAATCGATAAAGTATAAATTACCTATAGAATTAAAACCATTTTTTTTTTCACCATAAAATTATTAAATGCTTTTCAAGTATTGCTCACGCGTGTGGTATTATTTATTCACATGGTATATTATGGTAAAAGCAATATTATGATAAAGATTAATTTGATAATATTTTTTAAAAAACATTTTCCTAATAGGTTTATAGGATTTGAGTTGTAATTGGGGATACTGATTGTTCTCATTAAGTATAGGTATGCACGGTGGTAAAATGTTATTTTGAAAATTTTAAAAGCTTAATTCAAATCACTCATGGACGTATTATTATTGAATTAATCTCGGTATCGGTGAATTTTCCCCTCACAACAGTATTTCAACTGTTTTAACAAAGCTATATATTACAATTATGTTTTTGCGTTGTACCTTTATATTTGTTGTATTTTATCTATTAAAATATAAATGGTATTTTTTGCACTGTTTTCTGTGTATGTGAACGGAGTATATGAAAACATTAACCCTTTTCTATACATTATCCTTCTTATGTATTATTATTATGATCCCATAGTCAAGTCAAGAGCATTAAGAGGCTTATCAAGAAAATCTGCTATCTGGGTTATTCATCATCGTATTATAATGTATATATTATGTACTCTTACATGGGATCGAGTTATTTCAAAACTATTCAAGTCTGCGATTCCGGGGGTGGTATAGCAATATATAGCTAGGGCGTTATTGTTCGTGTAATTAAAGTCGTAATTCATTAAACCCATTTCCCGTGCATTGCCTCGTCTTCTTCCTCTTGCACTGTACACACGTTCCACTATACAACGAACGTCCATCGTCCGACCTTAAAAATCTCCGGTCGGCGGCACCAGTTATAATATTATTGTTTCATCGTGTAACGTCACTCCCACATCAATCTTCATTATTGTCCGTAAACCTCGTTGGCAATTAATAATTTTCCTACTTGGATCATAATATATATATATAATAATATTACCTACCCTTCTCTTCTATTTATCTCTCGTTAAGTCCATTCTATGACACACAACACTATATATACGGTGTATATAATATTATAGTGTTTGAGGATGCGACCTTAAAGTGTTTTGATATTGTATCTTATCAACAGCTAATGTATAATATATTATGTATTTAATTACATAGAGAAGATATCCACAAGCCTCACGCAACATATAATTAAATTTATATGATTTATAGATATTTCATCGAGCTCGTTTCGTATGGTGGTATTGATGGTCGTGTTGGTGGGATAGTTGGGAGGAATAATGAAAAAGAATAAGTAAGGAATATTATATAGGTATAGGCATTATTAGATATTTTTTTCCGGGGATTTAATTTTACGAAAAAATTCATGAAATAAACTCATGTGGTTATTTATTTTGTCGGGAGTAGCAATAAAAATCGGGACGACTAATATTTCTGTTTTTAATGCCATTTTAATTTCAATAGCTATTATTTGAAAATTAATTATGTTGTCTGTTGTTTAAAATGCAATACAAACAAGTCCCTTATACAGATCCTTTGGAGACGATTTGCTCGAGGCTAAGAATTCTAAGAATGTAGTCCTAGGTCTTTGTGCCTTCTCCTTAACGAGAACAACAAAAGCTAAATTATTTGACCGAATAAAAATATTATATCTTGTAAGATTTTCTTATTTTCATTTTTGTCTTCTCAATTATAACATTGTGTTTATAACGAGGATTTCACGGGGTTTTTTTGAAGATAATGTTTTCAAACAATAGTGTGAAATATTTGTAGTTGGGTCATAAAAAAAAATTAAAATGCATTAATGAGCCAAGACGAGCAAACAAAGTCAATTAAAAATATCTCGTTTTTATTTTCATAATAACTTCGGTCGAAACAATGTTTTTATTTCTATTTTTTCACATCGAATTTCACACTACTGGAGCGTTATCCACGCAAGCCGCCCTACTATTTTATACCTGTGCAGCAGGATACGAAAATGTCGGATTTTAATAACGAATATTCTTATTTAGAGTGTACGCCACGACCCCGAAAAAACTGCCGCTATCGCGAAACAGAAGTTATTCTCCATTAGATGAGCACGAGCGCATCATCTCGGAGATAACCAGCTCTGCCGGAAAAGTGTTATTGTGAAGCTGCCGTTATGTGCGCATTTGTTCGAAGCAGGATGACTTTCGCAACCTCATTTCGTCCCGAGTCATCCCGCGAGACCGGATCGCCCGTTTCTTTTATCTCGCGCATATAGAGGACAGCGTATATAATATGACCGAAACGACCGTCTTTCCCCGCGAAAAGGCCAATCGCAATACGCACGAGACAGATAACATATATTATGTCCTTCGCCCGATTTTTTTCCTTTCGGATCCTTTGGTTATATTGTATTCAGTCGCATGCAATAAGTCTTCTCGTAAATAAATCGAAACGAATACGTCAACCAACAAAAATGATACCTAATAATAATACAAAATATATAGTATAATAGCTCTACCTAAAAGTATAATAAGTACTGTGTAGTGTATGCATACACACATCCAATGAAACTATTATTATCTGTTTATTTATTTATTGTACATCTATAATGTTTCGTATTTCATATTTTTTAAAAGCATACATTATGACAGAAATTATATTCTGTATACCTACCTTAACGTTGATGAAAGGTCATGGCCAACACTTACATTTCTACAAGAATATATACGCGTAGACACTAGACATCGATTATTCTCTTATCAGCTCTTAGATTGTTAACTGATAACGTAGTATGAGTAACGTGACTGAACTATTCAAAGTAGATGAACGATATGACTGGTTAATACCTGTGGTATAAAATATTTCACATGTTTGGAAGATTGACAGTAATCAAATGTGTTTTCTTTACCTTCACGTATTTTTAAATCTTGAAATGTTCTGCCACTAGGTAAGCAGTTTTTCGTACATGGTTAAAAATATGATAACGATATATATACATATGTTTTTGCTGAATTCGATTCTCGTTTTTGTTTTGACGGTGTAGTGATAATAGTATGTTAAGCAACAACTTAAACCCTCCGGCATGCAACGGATGAGGATGAAAACGGAAAGTAAAAGTGAGATTATGTTTTAAAATTTTAAATATGTTTGAAAAGGTTATTTTTGTGTAGGAATTGTAAAACGTGTTTCAACTTTATCTCGGGTTTTTTTTCAGAGCATTTTTTTATTGAAATAAAAATCATATCATTATAATACACGGAGAAAAATGTTGCTGGAATAATACTTGGTACTTGTTTTATCTAACTATAGCTTTGTAATAATACCATACCA